GCTTTTAAGTAAAATCCTCTGTTTCTTTGAAAAGACCTCTTTTAAATTGCAGATGAAGCTGGTCTGGGGAAAGGTGTCCCTAAAGAGAAAGTAGCGTAAGTGCCCATGTTAGTACTATCTTACTGTGTGCACAGGATAAATCTAATGCAGATTGAACTAATCTAAAGTTCAACATCTGTTTCATTCAAAGTGGAACATTTGAAATTCAATGCAAAGAAGGACTTTCAAGCCTGGCTTTTATTCTGTACAACTAATTGCTGTAGTCGGTTTCCAGTTTTTGAGTCCATAAAGTCCCTTACCTAGTCTCAATAAAGGTCCCATAAAGTAGCATTATAATTTGATGAGTGTTTTATAGGTTTCATTCTGTTTTAAAAAAGAACCATTGTATATAATTTCATAAATTTTTGAATTTAGTAATATTGAATATCAGTAATGTTAAATACCATGGTTAAAATCCTATATTTTGGAGCTGGACAGACTTGGGATACAATTTCACATTTGCTACTTAGTGATTTTAGGTAAGCTGTTTAGACTCTCTAAATTCCAGATTCTTTTTTCTTCCTACAAAATAGGGATATAAATAATATCTATCACACAGGTAACTTTAATGAACTAATGTATTAAACAAAGTAAATAAGCTGTTAGCACAATACCTCATAAACAGTAAGGGGTCAAACATATTAACTGTAATTAAAAATCATCATAGTAACAGTTTTATTCAGCACTGATCTTTTGATTTAATAGCTTGTTTAGAGAACACAAACACTCGAGTTAAATGCATGTTTAAAAAGAGTCTCTTGATGTTTACAAACATGCAGATGTTTGGCACAATGGAAATAAGAGTAAAGAAGTAAAAGTAAGAATTTTAATTTTTTTCTGGAAATTTTGATTTTTAACACCCACAACAATGACATTATCAAGTATGTCCATCTTAGTCTTCCTTTACTCACATTTTCTCTGACACACTCTTTAGCTCCCTCTGCCCTAGGCGGTTTTCTGCTCCCCACTCCCCTAAGACAATAGAATGTTTTAAAACTGGAGGGCAGGAGCTCAGGGCTCATCTCTGGGACAACCCCCACTGACTCTACCACCTTTCTTAAGGAGAAAACTAAAGCCCAGAGGAGGATGGATCAGTGGTTTGCTCAAGTTCAACTGAGTCTGAATTTTTTTTAATTTGTTTGTTTGTTTATTAGAGAGAGAGAGAGAGAGAGAGAGAGAGCGAGCAGCTTAGGAACCCGGGAGAGGAGTAGAGAGAGAATCTCAAGCAGACTCTGGCTATCAGTGCAGAACCCAAAGTGGGGCTCCATCTCACAAACCATGAGATCCTGACCTGAGCAGAAATCAAGAGTCATATGCTTAACCAATTGAGCCACTCAGGAGCCCTCAAGTGAGTCTGAATTTAAACTCTACTTTTCACCCTCATCCCACTGCATCATACTGGTCCCCAAAACTGAGAGGGCTCAGTATTTTTAATAATCACAGTATTTTAATAATCACTGCCAATAATAAAGATATAGGAGTGTATTTTGGTTTTTTAGAATCCATTAATTTTTTGTAAGCAGTGTTCCTAAGGTAATTTCCAGAAGATATTATATATAAATTATTGTCTATTAATATTTATATCAATTATTTTAATATAAAATTAGTACTAGCACAATAGTATTGTTAATATTATTAACATTTATATTAATTATAACATTTTAACCTTACATGTGTATAATTTTCTTTCTAAGTAAAGAATTATTTTGGTATCACCAGAGAGCACACCATTTTTACGAAATTCCCAGACAGTATTTAGTTGGGGAAAAAATTCTTAAGATGACATACTAAACCTTAAAGAAATAACCAGCTCAGACCCCAAATTGTGTGGAAAAAAAGTCTTGTTCTGTAGTTCTATGATGCTGGGATTAGGCAAGCAGCTGATGGCTTGATCAGTCAGGGGCTAACCTGAAAACTGCCGACTTCCTGGATGTGAGCCAAAGGTTGCCCTTGGGGTTGAGATAAGCCAGTTAATCTCCTGACTGAAACAACTAGTCTAGACATTGAATTGCTCTGGCCCAGTACTTGTCAGGGATACTGTGGAATGACTACATTCTAATTTTGCCTAGTGTGTAGTCCTGGAAATTACAAGGGTGTTTTAGGCAAGAGTGTGGTATAGTTGCTATAACTTGACTAATTCAGCTGCCAGGCGGATGTTACATAAGGTAGAGTGTTGGGCTTATGTATTTTTTTTTTTTTTAGATCAGTTCCTAGTCACTAATGGAGAGAAAACAGCTATATAATAGGTCTAGCTTGTTTTATTCATGTGTAAGGATGTAATAAGGAATCTGTAAGCTGGTATTAGCTGTGCTTCTGATCCTCTGAGAGGTTCTTCTGACTGTGAGAATCCTTAAAAGTTGTTGAGAGAGTCATTTGGGATTACTGTATGCTGATGACTTTGAACTGGAAGACACATACAAAATGAAAAGAAGACTTTCTAAAGAGTCAGCACAAAATAAAGGCAGTCATTGGACATTAAACAGAAATTTGACACAAAATTCTACCGTTACCTGATATTTTGATAAAAGAAATGCTAAAACAGGTTAAGCAGTGAAATGGCTGTTGCGCAGGCCTGGAACTCTTCAAAGCACCCCAACTTCAGCCCAGAGAGCATTGAAGACTCCAACTTCCAGTTGAGTCTTGCTCCATTTTGAAATTTGTACCATATCCATTCAATATTAGCCCCCATTTCATTTAAGCTATTTTGGGCTAACAAGATGAACCAAATCAGTTCCTTTCTTTAACGACTTTACATTCTAGTAAAGATGGTCACATCAAATAAGAAAAGACTATCATCAAGAAAAAGGTGAACAGCCATCATTACATAGTTACTTGGGAATTGAGATCACAGCTGAAATTTAAGACTTGTTTAGAAATCTATCTCCCTTCATTTTCTTACCTTATTCTACATATTCTTCTCATCATCTGCACCTATAGCTACTACTTGTGTTTTATGTACACTACTGTTTTTCTCTCTAGCCCTGTTCTCACATATGCCCTGCTAGCCAAACGTATAATGAATAATTTTTACAAAACTGTCTCAAAAGATCTTTGAGCAGAACCCATTGCTTATCATATTTGGATGTAATCCACGTGAGTTGGCTTTACCGTATTCCACCTAGCACCAACTTGAACTCTTGTTCTCTGAGATTCCTTCATTTCCCTCAGCTCCATGTCTAATTGACCTCTAAATTTAATTGCTTCTATCCACTTGACTCATTCTCTGCTACAGATTGGATTCTGGGATGCAGATTCTGCTTCATATCAATTTCTATGGAAGGAAAAGAAAGGAATTAGGATTGAGTAGAGGGTAAAGTTGAGCTGTGATGCGGGCTCTATAGCCTCAGCCATAAAAAAATCTTGGGGATAAGACCAGTCCTAGATGCCAGCAACATAGAATTCCCTGCAGTTTCCTAAATGTATCACATTTATGTCTCCACCATTCTATTCCATTTACCTGGAAAGCCCTTTTCTTTCCTTATCTGTCTGAATTCATCCTAATCGTTCTTCAAAGAGTCAACTCAACTTCATTTCCTTTAAATGCCTTTCCTGGGGCACCTGGGTGACTAAGTTGGTTAAGTATCTGACCTGATTTTGGCTCAGGTCATGATCTCAAGATTCAATTTGTGAGTCTGAGCCTCACATTGGGCCCTATACTGACAGTGCAGAGCCTGCATGGGATTCTCTCTCCCTCTCTGCCCTTCCCCAGCTTGTACTCTCTCCTTCTCTCTCTCTCTCTCCCTCAAAAACAAATAAGTAAACATTTAAAAATTAAAAAAAAAATCTGTCTTATAAAAAAAGTGTCTTCAACATTTCTGGACAAAGTCAAGCACTTTCATTTCTGTAGGCTCTCATTGTGAGCTGTAATTATTTTTCATTTGTCTCAATCTCTACAATGTAAAAACTCAAAGGACCAGTATATTATAGATATATAAATACCATGTATATTATAGATGCACAAATTCATCTTGTATCCCCTATGTTTAGCACACTTCCTGGCTCAAAACTGTGTGTTTCATAATGAGAAAGAAAGAAAGAAAGAAAGAAAGAAAGAAAGAAAGAAAGAAAGA